AAAAAGAAATAAAAGGCATCCAAATTGGTAAGAAAAAAAGAAAACTGTCACTACTTGCAGACGAGATGATACTATCTATAGAAAATCCTAAAGATGCCACCAAATACCTACTAGAATTAATAACTGAATTCAGGAAAGTTGTGGGACGTAAAGTCAATATAGAGAAATTTGTTGTATATCTATACACTAATAATGAAATAACAGAAAGGAAGATTAAGAAAACAACCTCATTTACAATTACATCAAAAGAACAAAATTCCTAGGAATAAACTTAACCAAGGAGTTGAAAGACCTGTACTCTGAAACCTATAAGAAATTGGTGAATGAAATTGAGATGACATAAATAAATGGAAAGATATACCATGCTCATGGATTGGAAGAATTAACATTGTTAAAACTCCATACTACCCAGAAAAATGTACAGATTCAAAGCAATTCCCATGAAAATATCAATAGTATTTTTCAGAGAACTAGAACAAAGAATCCTGAAATCTGTGTGGAACCACAAAAGACCCCAAATAGCCAAAGCAGTCTTGAGAAAGAAGAACAAAGCTGGACGCATCACACTTCCTGAATTCAAACTATCCTAGAAAGCTATAGTGATCAAAACAGTATGGTACTTGTACAGAAACAGACACATAGATCAGTGAACAGAGAGCCCAGAAATAAACTCAGGTTTATATGGTCAATTAATCTATGACAAAGGAGTCCAAAGCATACAATAGGGAAAAGACAGTCTCTTCAATAAATCGTGTTGTGGAAAGTGGACAGCTAGCTACATGCGAAAGAGTGAAGCTGAACCACATTCTTATACACCGTATATAAAAGTAAATTCAAAATGGATTATAGTCCTAAATATAAGGCTTGAAACTATGAAATGCCTAAAGGAAAACATAGGCAGTAATCTCTTGGACATCAGCCTTAGCAACACTTTTCTGGATCTGTCTCCCCAGGCAAGGGAAGCCAAACAGAAATAAGCTGTTGGGACCACACCAAACTCAAAGGGTTTTGCACTTGCAAAGGAAACCATAAAACAAAAAGGCAACCCAGTGAATGGGAGGAGATATTTGCAAATGATATATCTGACAAAGGGTTAATATCCAAAACAGAAAGAATTCATATAACTCAAAACCAAACAAACAATCTGATTAAAGACCTAAATGGACATTTTCCCCAAAGAAGACATCCAGATGGCTAACAGACACATGAAAAGGTGCTCAGCATCACTCATCATCAGGGAAGTCCAAATGAAAACCACTATGAAATGCCACCTCACACCTGTCAGAACGGCTGTTTCAAAAAGACAAAAAAAAAAAAAAAGTGTTGGTGAAAAAGTGTTGGAGAAAAGGGAGCCCTCGTGCACCGTTGGTGGGAATGCAAACTGGTGCAGCCACTTTGGAGAACAGAATGGAGGGTCCTCAAAAGTGTAAAAATAGAAGGACCATATGATCCAGTAATTCTACTTCTGGCCGTTTACCTGAGGAAAATGAAAATACTGATTTGGAAAGATACATGCACCCCTGTGTTTATTGCAGCATTATTTATAGTGGCCAAGGTGTGGACGCAATCCAAGTGTCTGTCTGTGGACCCACATGCACACACTGCAGTGTTACTCAGCCATGAAAAGGAATGAAATCTTGCCATTCACAATAATGTGGATGGACCTAGAGGACATTATGCTAAGTGAAATAAGTCAGACAAAGACAACATATGATCTCCCTTACATGTGGAATCTAAACACCCCCCCCCCCCAAAAAAAAATGAACAGACGATAACAGTGAAAAGACAAACAGACTCATATATACAGAGAATAAACTCATGGTTGCCAGAGGGGTGGCTGGATGGGGGAAATGGGTGAAGGGGATGAAGAAGCACCAAATTCCAGCTGTGAAATAAGTGAGGCACAGGGATGAATAGTACCGCGGAGGGAATATGGTCAGGTGATACTGTAAACCCTCTGTGGTGATAGATGGTAGCTACACTGATTATAATGAGCATTTGATAAGGTCTGTAATTGTCAAACCTTTATTTGTACACCTGAAACTAATTTAATATTTTCAGTCAACTATAGTTCAATTAAAAATTTTAAAAAATTTCATATAAAAAATGATGCCTCTCTGAAAAGAAATCCTGCACGCATTGGCAGTCCTTCTGTGTTTCTCCCCTGCTTCACCCCAAACCTGGGAAATCACCATTCTATTTTCTGTATTTGCCTATTTGGGACATTTCACAAAGAAGGAATCAATCATACAATATAATCTCTGTCTTTCACATAGCATAGTGTTTTCAGGGTCTATCAAAGTTGGGGCGTGTATCAGTATTTCATTTTCTTTTTAGTGCCAAACGATTTTGATTATTTGGATATACCACGTGTCGTCTGTCCATTCTTAAGCTGATGGACATTCACGTTGTTTTACTTTTTGGCTATTATGAATAATGCAGCTGTGAACATTCATGTGCAAGTTTTTGTGTGAATATATATATTTTTATATATATATATATATATTTTTTTCAACGTTTATTTATTTTTGGGACAGAGAGAGACAGAGCATGAACAGGGGAGGGGCAGAGAGAGAGGGAGACACAGAATTGGAAACAGGCTCCAGGCTCTGAGCCATCAGCCCAAAGCCCGACGCGGGGCTCGAACTCACGGACCGCGAGATCGTGACCTGGCTGAAGTCGGACGCTTAACCGACTGCGCCACCCAGGCGCCCCAATGAATATATATATTTTAATTTCTATTTGCTATATACCTGGGGTGGAATTGCTGAGTCATATGATGACTCTCTGTATAATCTTTTGAGGAACCACCAAAACTGTTTTCCAAAATTGCTGCACAATTTTACATTCCCACCAGCAGTGTATGAGGGTTCCAGTTTTTCCACACTTATTATTACGTGTTTATTATGTTAGCCTTATTAGTGGGTATGAATGGTGTATCTTTGTGGCTTTGATTTTCATTTCCCTGATGGCTAATGTTGAATATTTTTTATGTGTTTATTGGCCATTTGTGTATCTCCTTTTAAAAAAAAATTTTTTTAAAGATGTTTATTTTTGAGAGAGAGAGACAGAGTACGAGCACTGTGAGGGGCAGAGAGAGAGGGAGACACAGAATCCGAAGCAGGCTCCAGGCCCTGAGCTGTCAGCACAGAGCCCGACGCAGGGCTCGAACCCACGAACCAAGAAATCATGACTTGAGCTGAAGTCGGACGCTTAACCGGCTGAGCCACCCAGGCGCCCGCTCGTTGCCCATTTTAAGTTGGGTTGCTTGTCTACCTATTATTGAATTGTAAGAATTCTTTATATATTCTATGTATAAATCCTGTATGAAATATAAAAAAAAATGATGCTTTCACTTTAGAAAATGTCCAGTGGTCGTACGGGGGGGTGTGGTGGGGGACGGAGATTGAGTGTGAATGTGACTAATGCAGGAGAAGAGGGAGATGACGCAGTGGAATCCAGAAAGGCGGTGAGGATTTAGGGAAGGAAGAGGCTGCTCACACCGGAGAGCAGGAGGCCCAGTGTCTGGGAGGGGTGCTGGGTGGGCTGCTGCCGTGGGGGGACACGGGCCTGCCTGTTACTTTCTTGTTCTGCCTGGAATATCCGTGCCTGGCTGACCCCTCCTTCATCCCCGCCTCCTGGAGAGTCAGCCCTCATCTGTGTTTCATCGAACTCTGAGCAGTTCTTCCTACATTTCTTCACTGTTGTCTTCCCTGAGGGCAGGCGTCTTTCCCTGTTCTGTTCCCTGTCGTGAGCCCAGCCCCAGGGGCGGTGGACTCCAGAAGGCATTCAGTGAACAGGTGTCGATAGAATGAGAAAACACACACATCAGAATTGTCCCATTTGGCTGGGTCACAGGTAGGCAGCGGGCCTGGGGTTACGAGGGCACACTGGTGTGCCAGAGAGGGCTCTGGGTTTGTGGTTGTAGTACCCAGGGGCTTCCCAGTGTTTCTGAGAAGGGGTGACGGGCTCTGAGCTGTGCCCCAGGAACACCGGTCTGGCGCGAACACCGGTCTGTGAGTGGATAAAGGAAGGTCTCGAACACTGGTTGGGAGGCCATTTAGATTCGTCCTCCAGGTGAGGGCCCAGGTGAGGACCATGGAGGTGGGCACGGAGAGGACACTGAGGAGCATAAGTTGGTGGGGCCGCCAGGCTGTGGTTCTGTGCTCACAGAGGTATCTGGGCAACAGGCTGATCAGCAGGGCCGGCAGAGGGACCGAACCACCTCCTTAAGTGGCATAGCCTTGAGCAGCAGGGTGGGTGGGGACCAGCCTCCCTCTTTACAGGTAGCTGTGGCACAGTGAGGTCAGCAGAGCCCTGACCCAAATTCTCGTCTGGTCTCTGACACTTCTGGACTGTGTGATTTACATAGCTGTTAATACCTCTCTGAGCTTCAGATTCCCTTATCTGTGAGCTGGGGTGCAAATAGTTGATGGGATTGTTGTAATGATTGAGGTGCAATAGATTTGCTGCCGTTTGAGAAACAGAAGTTGTTACTGCACCACGGGGGTGTGGGGATAGTCCAGGCAGGTCATGGATGAAAGAAAACTTTCTGGAAGCGTGAAGGCTGAAGCCCAAGTCAGGTGTTGTGGTTGTTAACCACTCATTGTCTGGTTATGTGGCTCCATATGTTTTCTGCTTTGAAAAGTTGCGTGTTTGATGGAGGTCCCTTCCAAAGTCCTAGTGTCTCGGTGAACTGTCATTCCTTTTCTTTTCTAAGGGAGCTAAAAGTGGATGCCGTGTGCTACGTAACAAATGCCTTTGTTCCAGAGTTATGGGCCTTACTCACAAAAGGACAGGATGAACTTGAAGAGATGGGTCTCCTAAAGGCTTTGGGACTTGTGTGTATCACCGTTTCTGTGCTTTTCCGGGTGGTGTCTTCAGGGTGTGGGAACTCGGCCTGGCCCTGCCTCAGCGTTTCATTGTGTCTCTGTTTTATGAAAAAGCTCTTTTTATGTGTTTCATTTCTCAAAAGCTTTTTCTTCCTGTCTGTGCTTCAGCTCTCCGAAGAAGAAAAAATCCAGCGATACAGCATCCTCTCTGAGCTCTACGAACTGATTGGCTTCCATCGGAAGTCCGCGTTCTTCAAGCGCGTGGCCGCTATGCAGTGCGTGGCCCCGAGCATCTCGGAGCCCGGGTGGAGGGCCTGCTACAAGCTGCTCCTGGAGACGCTTCCCGGCTACAGCCTGTCGCTGGACCCCAAGGACTTCAGCAGAGGTATTGGAGGTCTCACTGCTGCAACTGTTTGGTCCAGTTCCCATGCATCGTTTGAGCACTTGCCCTCCCGGTCAGACACTGTGGTTGGCGATGGATGGGGTTCAAAACGACCAAGCCCCCGCCTGCCCTTGGGTACTTACGAGAATACTTATGATGATCTAATAAACAAAGAGTGGTGCTTTGCTTGGGGGCTGGCGTTCTTTTGGCTGGTCCCTGTCCTGGCCCTGGTGGTAGAGATTGGAGTTCAGGGCAGAAATAACCGGCAAGTCATGGACGCCTGTGGGATTTACGTTCAAAAAGCTCAGTGTTGTTGGTGGAAGAGGAGATAGGGCTGTGAAGGTGGGTACAGGCTCAGTTCAGCCACCTTCCAGAGAGGTTTCGTGGGAGGAGGTTAGCGCTCGGGAAAAGGGCAGAGTTTTTAGAGCAATCACACAGTTCTGTACAGAGAGGATAAAGGGTATTTTAAAAGTTTCCACTTGCACACTGAATAGAATCCCCATTTACCGTGCTTCAGAGAGACAGTAGGCAAGGTCGCCGTTGCTTTCCAGTTACCTTTTTTTAGTGCCCTTTGAATGTAACTGCAAGCCGGCTCCAGAGGGAGAGCCGGCTACCCAGGCCTTCTGTGAGTCGCCAGGAGTTGTCTGATGTGTCCTGTGAAACATAACATCTGAGAGTCCAGGGTCGGAGGCTTCCTTCCGGACGCTCTTCCCTGTTCCTCACTGTTTAACTGCCAGCCGCCCTTGGGTCTCAGCTGAATGTCACCTACGCAGAGAGGTCCCCCAGGGTCCCTCAGCCTAAGTGGAACCTGTTTATCTTTCCTCTTTCATCGAATCCTGTTGTTCCTCCTTCTGGCACCTTCCATAATTTGCATGTGCATTTAAAAATCAGTTGGGGCGATGGTTTCACACATGCTTTCCACACTAGCCTGTGTGCCCTGTGGGAGCAGAGCCCCCGACTCCCACTGTGTCCCCTGGCCGGCACGCGGCAGGTGTCCCAAAGCCTAGTGAGCGGCTACAGCTTCGTGTGTTGGTTGCCAGTTGTCGAATAGAATTTCTTGATCTTAATTTTTGAATGAGATGAACAAGGTAGGTTTCTTTTAAAAAGTACAGCAAACGAGCACATCTTCAAGTGATTCGGTACTTTTTTAGCCTTTTGTTTGGGAGGGGACACTTGCCATCGTTTTGTGAAAGAGGTTGAGACCGAAGGTAAAGAAGTGCGATCAAATAAGGTAAAAATGATAACTGTTGGCTGGCTATATTTTTAATAAGAAGTAGAAATCACTTTAAACTTCATCTCCGCTGTTGCTCTGGACCACTTCAAACGTTTCTCAGAGAATTAGATGGAAATGTTCTCAAACCCTGAACCTGCGGATGAAAGTAAATTGTATCCTCAGGACCTGAAATGTATTTCTATTTCTTGAAATGAGCATTTTCCCTAGCTGGTTACAGAAAGTGAGGGTAGGCACACAGAAGCATACGGTGTTGTATTGGCCAGCTCACAGGGCTGCGTATTATCATTTTAATCTTGTGTTACTGTGTATGAGGATTTGTGAATATGCTGTGTATATGTGCTGTGTATGAAGATCAGCCTTTTCCTGAGTGAGGGATTCAGTCTTCCCCAGGAGCTTTTACAAAAGAGACTGGCAGGGCAGATGGGTTTGCTTCAAGGCAATTGTTGACATAACAAACTCTCAAATTGGGAGAACTTTCTGAATGCAAGAGTGTTGAAAATGTTATCACTTGGTCATATGTTGCAAATCTGTCTTAAGAATAAAGAGAGTCACCTTTTATTGCGGGAGCAGTTTGAATCACATAGAAATTGTGGCTTGTACGCTATTTAGTGTTAAGAAAATTTGTGCTCAGCCTTACTCATAATTGCCTGTGGCAGGAACTGTATCATTATGTATTAAAAAAAAAAAATCAGCATAGGGATATTTGCCCGATGTTTAAGTGAGAAAACCTTCTTGATGTCCTAGTGTTGAGATTCATTAAGTTGGGTCATTTAGAATTCATGGCTTGGTTAGTCATGAAATTGATTTCAGCTTCTTAATCCTTTTTAAAATCTCTTATTTCGTTTTGGCATTCGGCCTTTGCTTCTTTTGACAGTGAGGAAGTATTGCAGGGACTTGTCTTTCTCTGCGTCCCCGTGGTATGAAAAGTGCTGCTGTTTTCCATTCCCAGTGTTTTTGTAAGACAGACACTAGGGTATGAGGTAGATTTTGTGGTGTGTGTGTCTGTGTGTGTTCATGCACCTCCAAGACTTTCAGTTTAGAAAATTATTATGAAGTAACTTAAATATATACAAATTAAGGAGAATAGTACAATGAGCCCATCACCCAGAGCAAGTGATTATCAAGAGTGTGCCACTTTGTCGTTGGTGGAAGTGTTTAGGGCAAATCCCAGAAATCATGTCATTTTACCCTATGTGCTTAAGTTGCATGCCTGAAAAAGAGGGCATTGCCTTTCATGAGGCTTTCAACTTGACCCACATGCTGTGAAACCCCACCGTGTATCAGGCATCCCACCAGGCGTTAAAGATACTTGGGTGAATAGGACACAGTCCTGGCTTCCAAGGAAATGGAGGGTCAGTGGAAGGCATAAATCACGAGGTTACAGGTGCCTCACTGTACCTGCCAGATAACGCCTGTGGGGCCGAGTCTGTGCACGATACGGCGGCAGGACATGAGAGGGAGGGCTGGCCAGCCGCGTGCGGCAGGGCAGTGGGCGAGGAGGTCAGTGGGGGCTGTGACTGGAGCCCACAGTCTTCTCTCCCAAGCCGTAGGGCCCCAGACACGCAACACTGTGCAGTGACATGTGTGTTGGCAACCCATTACAAGGTCTCCTTCATGAGGGATCTCCAGGTAGAAAATATTTAGAAGTAGTAATTGTTGCCAGAGGGAGATGGAATAAATAACTCTAAGATTCTGAGATCCTAAAGAGGTAATTTTCGATGGCTGTGCAACTGACTCCCTCACCTTAAATTTTACCCATGCTGATTTATTTCGGAGGAACAGCTGCAGAAGTCTGTTGGTAACCTTTTTTTTAGCTGTCTGTCTTTATGAGCTTTTCTTATAGGCTAAAGTAAAAAACAAACAAACACATTTTCTAATGGCCTTGGTGGTTGCTAACGAAGGCCCATCAAGTACCAGTGTTTCTTTGAAAAAAGTTGTGTATCTAACTCAAATACATGCCATTGGAAACATAATCGTTTATTATAACCTTATTGTAATGATTTCCACGTGGTTATTTATTTGTTTGTGGCGGGGGGAGAGAGAGAGAGAGAGAGAATATGCAGGGGAGGGGCAGAGAGAGAGAGGGAGAGAGAGAATCTCAAGCAGGATCCGCACTGTCAGTGCGCAGTCTGATGTGAGGCTTGGTCCCACGAACCGTGAGATCCTGACCTGAGCCGAAATCAAGAGTCAGACATTCAACCGACTGAGCCACCCGGGAGCCCTTCAAAGTGCTTATGTTTGCATTGTGTCTTCATAGAAGAGAAAAAGTGTACCATAAACCATTTTTTTAACTGTATGAAAACACCTATCCCTTATGAGGTCTTTCTGGGGTGCGTAAACACGGCACATTTCTCTTGTCGTCCTTTGGTTTGATAGTCGAGGCACTTGTCTTTAAATCACCAGGTTTGACACATGCCATCGCATGTGTTTCCACGGAGGCTCGCGTCTTCGGCTCCGTGGCCGGCGCCCTCCTGGAGCCCTTTGAGAACCTTCTGTGACTTCCATCCCACAGGTACACACCGAGGCTGGGCTGCTGTCCAGATGCGTTTGCTTCACGAATTGGTCTACGCCTCCCGAAGGATGGGGAATCCTGCTCTTTCCGTCAGGCACTTGTCCTTCCTGCTGCAGACCATGCTGGATTTTTTGTCCGATCAGGGTGAGTGAGTTCAGACTACCGCCCTTTTCAGCACTCTTGGCTCTGACCCCCGTAAACACTGGGCTTAGGTCTAGGTGGGTGGTGCTTCCCCATCCTACACGTCCTCTGCTCCCCGTGCTGCCCTCACTGTCCCCCACGGGTGCCTGATGCTGCTGCCCAGCATTCCCTCCCCTCCCGGACCCTCTCTCACCCCACTCTGCTGCTTCTGTGTCTCTGGCTGGTGCCGGGATGCGGGATGCCCCCCCCCCCCCACAGGCCCCACTTCCCTTTGCCTACATTGTATCAGACAGAAATGTCCAAGTAGAGCGTGTATATAGAGAAGTGCCTGGTTCATCAGAACGTAGCTCAGTGCATTTGCCCCCGTGACTGTTACCGTTTCTGTAACCGGCAGCTGGAGGAGAAACGTGACCAGAACCACAAGGACCCCTGTGTGCCTGCCAAGGGCGGCTTCTGTCTTTCTCTTACAACCAAGGGTGCCATTTGCCTGTGTTTGTACCCATGGCATCATGTGGTATCTGTGCCCAGGTGTCAGGCGACTTTCTTCTGGGCCCTTCCGTCGGTCGTCTGCTCCTATGGTTACTGGGTGGCATCTGTGTTTTGGGTTTCGGTCATAATCTGTTTATTTCCAGCCCAGATTCCACCCTGGGTCCGGACACTTGGGCACTTGCAGGGCACGGCCCTTTGCCTGTGCCACAGCCGCTTGGAAGGGAGCACGCCAGCACTGGAGCTCTGTGGTGTCCCCGGCCCACCGCCCCTTCTGCCAGGGCCGCTCAGCCAGCCCGTGTGTGTTGCTGGTTGGGCCCCGTGCCCTCTCTGCCCTGGAGATGAACGAGTGGGGAATTTATTCAGAAGTGCTCCTGGGATCGATACCCGAAGGAGAAGGAGGCAAGGTGGGGCAGAGGGAGCTGAGCCTCTGTGCGGTGTCAGCAGAGGCCCCGCCGGCCCACGGAGGGCTCTGTGCTGCGATGGCCCGGCAGTGCTGGCCTGCACTGTCGCGAAAGCCAGGCCCGGTGCCCAGTCCTGCCGTGCCTGCGAGGCAGTTTCTGGAGACGACTCCCACAGCTGCGTAAGGCCTCGGCTGACCCCGTGGGACTCTGAAGCTGGGATGGCCCTTCAGAGAGACAGCTTGCTGGGTGGTGAGGGGCCAGGCCCGACTGCTCCCACAGCCGGGCCCTAGATGCACGCTGCTCCCAGGAGGGGGCGTGCTCGCCCCAGGAGGGGGCAGGCTCGTGGGCGGGCGGCTCTCTCCAGCAGAGAACAGTCCGGAGAGCGCAGCACTCCCGTCCCTGGTGGTGCGCCGCTGTCTGCCGCAGAGCAGACAGACCTCTTTCCAGGTGTTCCTGCGGGGATCTGCCACGGCTCGGCCACCGCACTCCTTCACTGCGCATCCTCTGTCTTCACGGCTTTAGCGCTAGTGGGTATTCCTCCCCCTCTGCCTGCTCTCCTTTCCTGCGGTCATAACAGTCTCCTCTGCTCCAGGATGCAAGGGGGGTGTGAGGCTTAAATGCATTAGTTCCAATAAAGCATTTATCCTGGAGCTTATACTACAACTGGTAATGGTTAGCTTCAGAACAAGTACTCAAGTTGGCATGCGATTGCCTTTACAAAACCAAGAAAACAGTCAGTCTGACTCATGCGCTTTTCTAAAACGGGAGAGGAAAGGGGTTCTTTCGTAGCTGTTACAGCACAAGTGCGGTGCTGTGTTTTAAGCAGAAACAGTTGAGGACCTTGGCTCAAGGTGAAGCTCAAGGGTGCGTCACAGGCTTGGGTGAGATTCCTCTTGTGGGACCTCCTCCTCCACGTCCCGTGTGTCCTTGAACTTCAGGCTGGCCGCGCGGACTTCACGTTGTACCTACCACATGTGCCCATCGTGTGCCGTTTTCTGTGCCCGGTGGCACCTGCTGGAACTTGGGACTGTCACGTTCCTCGGGTGACTTCCACAGCGGTCTCGGAGCGAGGAGCTCCCGTGACATCTCGCTGCTAATGCCCTTGACGCGCTTGCCACGTCCCGTGGTTATTTGTATCTCTTTGGGCTTCGCTGCCCAGACAGAGTCCCCCACGGATGGCGGGACAGCTCGTCCTCTGTGCCCACTTGGTTTCCGCTGCCTTTGGTGCGGCATTTGAATTGTGTTTGTCTTCCTGCCGCCTGCAGAACTCGGCCATTGAGGACTCGCATGGCAGCTGGCTTCGTGAACGGTCCGCACCTTGGTTTCTCTGAAGCCAGGGTTGCAGACGAAGGCAGAGTTCCCAGAACAGGCCGTCTCTAGTGTCCAGTGGTGACGCGGGCATGAGTCTGTCCCTTGTCTGCTGCACTGAACATTTGCTTTGCGATGGGTGACTGGCTCTCCTCACCGACCCCCTCTCCCCGAGGGTGCTTGAACCGCCCCCTGCCCCAGCAACCGTGACGACATAGTGTCCAGTCTGAGTGGAACCTGCCCGCTGGGCCTGAGAGTTCTGATCTGTGGCACGTGTCCCTCCCCACTCTCTTCACGGCCCTGCTCTCTCTCGGCACCGCTTTCCCACATGCCTCACCTTTAATCGTGTGCCATGTTGCACGACCGTGAGTCGCGAGGACGGAGCCCCACGTCCTTGTCCGGAGCTGCTCACACCTTCGTCTGCTTCTTCTTGCAGTTTTTTCTCTTAAATGTGCACCCCCTGTCCTGCAGCAGGGCCTTTGTGCTCCCGCCCCCCTCTCCGTTCCCTGTCACCAAGTGACTCCTCCAGGTATGGACTCCCTCTTGGTAGCTGTTGGCAGGTGCCGGCACGACCAGACCCTCCCACTCTGTTCTCTTCCTCTGTGCGCTGCTCATGGCTGCGGTGAAAGATCCGCACGTCACTAGCTGGTCACCGTCTGTCGTCCTTCCTGGAGCTCCGGGGAGGAGGAGCTTGCTGGTTATTGGAGGTCATGTCCATTGGTGATCTAAAGACCTTGAGTTTGAAAGCAGGGGAACTTGGGGCGTCTGACTGTTGAGCAAAGAGTCGTTTCCTTAAAGGCCTGTGTGTAATGGTATTTGGGTAATTGGAGTCTTCAGAGAAAAGGACAAAAGTCAGGAGGTCTCAAGAGTTCTTTCCTCTGATGGCTGTAACCTCGGATCGATAGTGACGTTCTCCCTGGGCCTCCATTTTCTCATTTGTACAGCTAGGGTGGCACAGTTGTGAGATAGTTTGTTATTATTTTAATGATAAATATTTTAGTTTATTGGATGACCTTTCCTCTGGAGAGCTCATGGTATCATTTATACAGTTGATAGTTAATATTTCTACATATTGCTGCATTGAAATGAAGTGTGGACTAGGAAACAGCCAAGAAAGAAAGAAATGATCCTGGGCTTGAGGGGGGTGCTTTCTAGTCTTCTACGTCCTACGTCAGACTGCTTGGGCGTTTGCAAGGTGAAGGCGCCACGACCTGGGGCTTTCTTGCCCTTCCCTCTCCCACATGTACCCCAACTGTGTGCAGATCTGAGTGAACTCGTAAGATACGAGGACGGTTGTTAACACAAAAGGCTTCAGTTCCCAGCACTCTTGCCAGTTTTTGCAAGATGAAAGTACTAACTTGAGGATGAATGGACATTTCTTGGGAAGCGTGACCGCGTTAACCTTTTACGATCACTCATGTGGGGTCGCTTCTCCTGACTGGGCGTGCCAGCTCCCGTGGCATCGTGGCAGTGCATTGGTGAGCCCCGTGGGCTGTAGGTGCAAACCTGGTCCTGTGTGCTGCCCAGGGGCCCCTTGAAAAGGAGTGGGATCCCTGACTTCACGAAAGCTCAGTGTGGCGGGCGCCCCTTCCTGCTCTTACTTGCCTGTGCCCTGGCCGTCTGCATCTCTGCCTACGTTCTGGGTCACGCCTGTTTCTGCCGCCTTCTGACTGTGACACCCCCTTCATGGAGCCTACCCTGCTCACGTGGTCCTGGCTCCCAGCGCTGCTGGTCTGTCCCCTCCCCTCCCGCCCCCACAGCCTGTGAGCTCCTCAAGGACAGGGAGTGTCCCCTATACCTGGCCCAGAACCTGGCTCCTGGTAGGCCCTGCGATGCTGCAGGGCGAGTGGGGG